TCCAAAGTGAATGCAGATGTGAAATCCTAACTAGATTAGCTTTCGGCAGTTAAAAAAAAAAAAAATCTGAGAGCTCCGTGCAATGTAATTATGGGAAAGCTGTGGTCAGCAGCAGAGAAAGCAGAAGTGAATCTGGAAAGAAAAAGTTGAATGAGAAAGATAGAGATTGGCTAAGACATTGTAGTTAAAGTCGGAATTGTACATTTTAACCCTATGGACAATTTTGTTGGGATAGATCTGCTAATTATCATGCACCAAATCATCTCATAAATGGATTAATGAAAAATCTATCCTTTAGATTAGAAGGCCATCTATAATGATTGGGCAATTGAACTCAGTGGCTGGATTTACCCATTCCACTAATCCAGGGGTAGGCAACCTTGGCTCTCTTATGCCTCGTGGACTTCAACTCCCAGAATTTCATGCTGGCTCAGGAATTCTGGGAGTTGAAGTCCATGAGTCATAAAAGAGCCAAGGTTGCCTACCCCTGCACTAATCTATAAAAAGGGTTTCATTCATTTTGGCCTAACATGTTGCATGAACTTATCACTGAGTTGAAGTCTTAAAGTACTGCAGAGAGTATTGTAGCCTAAATTAAAGAATTTCCTAAGCCAGCAAAACCTTTTAGTCTAATACACCCCTACAGCCAATGTGACATGTTTCTGAATAAGTATGCTTAGGATTGGGGTACATGATTTAAACTCCTGGATCACAGAATATAAATCAGATTGACTAAGGTGAAATAGGGAAGACCTTTTGGCCTTTTTGTTTAAACCCTTCCTATAAATCAAAAACCATGTTTGTTCATGTTCAGAAAGAGATGTGTGAGAGAGTATGTGTTTCATTAAGAGATAGACTGTTCTCAGAAAAACTTACCAGGATCAAATCTGACTTGGACATGGATATAAAACTATCCAGGAATAGCCTAGGAAGTCAAAACAGTATCCTAGATGAAAGTGCTGGCAAACCACATGAGGATTGTTGTCAAGAAAAATACAGGACATGTTCATGAAGTCATCAAGAATCAAGTTTGACTTGAAGAAGACTCAACCTTTGAGGAATCTGTGTTTGTACTTAACATAGATCCACCAAGTGAGTTCCTGGTAAAGCTTATGCAGTTAGGTCATTGCTTCAGATTCTTATTGCAATTTATCATATAAACTAGAGTCCAGTCTAATTTGCTGCTCCTTGCCATAGGTCTCCCTTCTTCTTATGAGATCCCTGATTGCTCCTCGAAGCACGAACCTGAAAACACCAGCCTGAAGATGACGAATGAGACTTCGTCGAAACATTGCCAAGACACTTCCAATTTTACGCAGGAGAAAACCCGAATAACCAAAGACCTACATACAAACACCTGTGAAAACCTCAGAAAACTATATACAATTATCTATAGTTTATTTGTAACTGCCCTTCAAAAACAGGTTTCCTCAGGATAGTTCACAACAAAATCAAAGACATCAAAATACAGATCAACCTTCCCCCCCCCCCAAGAATCTGTTGTACAATCAAATGCTCTATTCCACATTCTTCACTTCCCCTTTTAATTCTTTGGAAAATTGATCCCTCTAATGCCTGGTGAATCAGGCAGAAAGATTTGTTATACAAACAATGCAGAAAGGAAACTTAACAACAAAAGCAAAGGAGGGAGCTTACAATGTCTCCCCTGTTCCAATGCATGGCCACACAATCTTATTTGTCACGACACCCATTTATTACCCATTCAGATAATGATTAGCATTATAGCTACTTATAAGGAATAAGGCTTTATCTGTAGGTAATTCTTCACCATGTAATCATATTTCTTTCTGGCATTCCTCTTTTTATTATTCTCAGATTAAGGCCCAGACAGTGGATAAGGCTTATTTTAAAATATATTATCCAATTGTCAGAAAATATATAGTACAGAAATGAAAGTGCCAGTCTATAATCCTTACTATTCTGTAAGAGTTTCTCCAAGGTTTAGGCAACAGCCTTAACCCAACATTGCTACCTGAGATTCTTTGAATTGGAGCAGGGAGTAGACCAAGTGGTACCTAAGACATCTACCACCTTGGACGCTACCACTTGGTGGATGATTTTTTTAAAAAAAAGAGAGAATAGAAAAAAACCCTGACGTGTTGCAAAACAATGTGCCAGCTTCAAACATAGCATTCATTTGCTATAATACCTTCAGGCCTGCAAAGGTATAGATCAGCTCAGTAATTTTGTGAACGGGATCTGAGCAGGGCAGCCCATTCTGAAAGGAACATGAACCATAATTCTAAATGTGTGGATGACCCATTGTCTACTTCTGCTATACAGCCTACATTTATTGGGTCACAATTGCACAGGTCTGTTAATGGTTTTAACATGGAAACAGCTGAAAAAGCACTTGTGCCTTTCCATGTGCATTAAAGAAGAGAGCTGAATTTCTGATCAGAGAAAAAAGGATGAGCAGATCCAGAAAATCCACCATCCATCATGATGATGGTGGTGGTGGTGGTGATATTCTTTCCCCCATAACATTATTCCTTTTCTTGATCTCAAGGTTCCTAAGCTTGTGCAAAATTCTGCAAAGACCATGCATTTGCCAGAGCTCAGCACTGGACATCCAGGAAAGGTGCAGGCGATGTGAAACTATGCTCCCTTTTGCTGGAGTCTGTTTCCCTCCCTTAAACCCTGGCACTCTTGCTGTTGTTTTTCTGGGAAGCTATGCATGCTGCCAGGGCAACAAATATGTGGGCTTTGCTAGGAAGAGCTCTCTTTCACAGATAAGGCTTCCATTTCTTGCCACAATCCTCTCTGCACCTGCCTCGCATAACATATAAGGAGCATGTCTGGCTACAGATAGCTCCTGCCTAACCCATGCTGATTAAAGGAACCAGGAAATGGGAGGGGAGGGTTACATTGTGTTGGGAATGATAAGTAAGAGTAACCTCAAGTTTTGGAACTTTAGAAAGGAAAAAAGAAAAACTTAAAAGGAAGTTTAAAAAAAACAAAAGGCCACTGTGGTATGCCAGATCAGCAAAGATCAATCAATCTAGATCAGGTGCCCAACCCTGGGCCATGGCCCACCTCTGGGCCTTGAGCTGTTCGGAACCAGGCTGCAGAAGTGGCGGGTGAGCGCATATTTTGCCATTGCTCATCCCCACTTGCGTGAACAGCAGGCGAGTGCATGCACTCCATTTGCACGAGTGGTGGGTGTGCATGCCCATCACTTGTGCAAACAGAGTTGAGCGCATGTGCACACATGCATGTTTGCCTACCGCTCACATGGAACTATCCCCCTCCCCTCCGCTAGTCTGCAAAGCTGAAAAGTTTGGAGAACTCTTGATCTAGACACAATCCACTAGCTGCTTGCTTCCAGAAGCAGGGGAGAAGAAAGACAGCTATGAGATAAATTTGTATGGGAAATTCAAGTTGAAATGCATTGCGCGGTGTGGTGTATCTGAGCACAGGTAGACAAAACCTGGCATTTGGTCTTGGATATTTCTCTCTGCTGTCTCAGCCTAATGTCAAAGCATTCCTGACTCATCACAGACTGTTCCCGGGCCCTATCCTCACCCACCCAGTCATTTTCTTCCTGTCTCCTTTGCATCTAAATCAGTGTTTCTCAACCTTGACAATTTTAAGGCATGTGGACTTCAACTCCCAGAATTCCACAGCCAGCATTGCTGGCTGTGGAATTCTGGGAGTTGAAGTCCACATGCCTTAAAATTGTCAAGGTTGAGAAACACTGATCTAAATGCAGTCAACCAGTTTATATGTTAGTCCTCTCTGCCTTGCTAGCTGGAGGAAGGCCTCCCCAGCTTCTTCCTCCCTCCTAGAAAGAAGTCTGCAAACTAATCTGGTTGAGATTGCCCTAGTAGTTGAACAGCTATTGGCAATGTCTGGCAATAACCTGCCAGCCCAATGGAAAGAGATGCAGCAAGGTAGAGAAAAAGCAGAAGAATCGCTGAATGCCATCTAGAGCCAACTCACTATAGAGACATCCTACTGCAACCCAGTGCTACAGTCTTCTCATCTGGGGACAACATGCTTCTTTGTATATCTATAGGCTGCCAATGCATGCAGTTTTCCCTGGATTGCATCTGTTGGTTTGAATGTACGTGATCGGGTGTTCTTGAACGAGGAACAATGGCGAAACATCCAGCCCGCTCAAAATGACATGTGCTTATAAAACATGGTTATGTGACAGAAATTAGCCTACTTCAAACATAAATTCCCCCCCCCTCCAGTGCTTGATAATAATAATTCTAAAAAGATTCACTTCTGAAGAATCCCAAGATGTGCTTGTAAGAAGGGATACCAAAATTCAGAGGAGCCACCACTTCACGTATATGTATATATCCTGACTGTTTTCTGAAGAAACAAACTCAGAAACAGCCTTGTTCATCCAAACAGCAGATGCTAGAGCTTTCTGGCCTGTTACACCAGCATGCTGGCTTTTCTTTTTCCCAAATGGTCTTTTATTGCATCTTCGAAACACACAGTCAACTTTCTAACACTTTGTTTATGGCCATAAAAAATATAGCGGTCTCTCTCCCCCACCTAACTAACTCCAGTCAGCAGCATTCTCTTGGCGTTTCAGCCAGGACAAAAGACACACTTACACCCTGGAGTCCTTTCCTTGAGCCAAGGGAGGAAGGGAGGAGAAGCAAAAGGCCCTCTTTGCAGGATCTTTGGGTGTGGGAAGCAGGAAAGGCCAGAGGTCAAAGGAAATCTGTCTGCTTTTACTTTACTGAATATTTCTGCTGGTTTCAGTATTCATACAAAACCATGGCTTTTTAGGGCAATGCACTCCATTAACCTTTTTATTTTATCTAAAGGTCTCCCGTGGCCTTTGAAAGAGAGACCTTCCCGGTCAACCCTCCCTCTTTCTTCAAGGCAAAGAGCAGGGCTGTAAGAGTCAAAAGAAAGCTTGATTCCCTTTGGTGTGGGCAATGCCTTTCCTCTTACCAGCAAAGGATAGGCCTGAGTAATACTATAGAACCTGATTGCCTTTGCATACTTTCACACACACATTCGTAACTCTTCCTTCACATCCACACGTGGCAACCAAAAACAGACATATACTTCTTATGTACAGGATTCTCTAAAGAGTAATGTCTTTGGAGTAGATTCCCCCAAATTTCATTCCTTCCCTGTATCTCCTGTGTAGCCCTCTGCTCCTTGGTCTCTTCAGCGGTAGATCTTTCCAACTGCCTTAGCATCTTCTTCTTTCAGAGAAAGGTACAGCAGCTGGACCGCCTCTTCTCCGACTCAATGTAGTCATGGATTTGGAACCTGGGCTCATCCAGCTGCTTCACAGCTCGCTGCTTGATCTCTCTGGAAACGAAAGGGTCAAAACACTGCTCAGACATTATTTCAAGAAAAGGAACTTTCCTCCCAGAGAAATGTTTTCCTGGGCTTCTATGGTAGGAGAAGATTTCATCTTTCTTAAAATGCAATACTCGGAGTAAGCATGTTAATGTCTACCTCCACCTCCGCCCAGAAACAGATGCAACTCACAACTCCTTCCCGGTCTGCTGTGACCTCGAAAACCAGCTACAGTACACCATTTCTTGGATGTTTCATTTCAGCACAAAGATAACAAAGAGTTCCAGAGAACACATCAAATTGTGTAAGTGGGCAGTTAAAGGGGAGAAAAAAAATATTGGCGAGATGTTTGTGAACCACCCAAGAAAAAAAAAAAGTGTTAGGAGAGGGAGATGGATGAAATCTCACTGAAAACTTCACAAAGGTATGTAACTTTGGTTGCCCCATTTAACACTTCTGCCAAGGGATTGAATTATGGATTATGGGATCTGATAACGGATACTTGTGAGAATTCCTTACATTTTTGAAAGCTGAGTTTTATTTCGTCTCACCTTGGATAGCCTTTTCTTAACTTAAGAAAGTTCATAGCAACCCAATGACCAATTCTCTTGGGTTTTCCCTTCTTCCTAAATTCTCCTGGTCTTTTGGATGCTCATTCCTACCAGTCCCACCAGGATGGCCAGGTGTCTGGATTTTACTATCCAAAACATCTTAAGGCATCAGCCTTTTGAGTCTGGGGAGGGATTGATAAAATGAAAGCAAGAAGGCTCAACATCTTCTCCCAATGCTGTTATAATCCCAGGGATTGAAGGCAAACTATCTGCAGCCTGTTACTCACTTTGCAATGGCCAGAAATGCCAATTCCACATTCATACCAGTCTTGGCACTAGTCTCCATGAAAGGCACACCATATTCCTGGAATGAAAACAGAGCAGAAAAAGTGGCAACATCTTGCCAGCAAACCTGATGAATCCTTTTTAACATTCCTATGCTGGAACCTTAACAATAGCCCTGGAAACCTAAATATACTAATTTGTAATCCCGAAGAGGAGGTGGATTTGGGTCAGTTAAGAAGATAATTCAGGATGCTATCTGCTCTGCATTAAGGGGAGGAGATGCTTGCCAATACAGATGGCTTTTTCTGAAATTAGACAGAAAGCTTGGGTCACCTACTCCAACTATGCTGTGAGACAGTTACACTTGGACTTATTCACTTACCCTGGCTAAGGATTCCCCATCTTCTGTTCTGATAACTCGCTCACCGCTCATGTCAGCCTGCAGATAGAAAGACAGTAAGGTTGGGGAAGAGTTGAAGCGTGCATAATCATGAGGTACCTTAGCAGTGTTTTTCTATCTGGGGAGATTAAAAATGGAGACAAAATAAACATTTTTAAATAACCTAGCCTCACTCTGCTTCTTCTTTCAGCCATCTATCTATCTATCTATCTATCTATCTATCTATCTATCTATCTATCTATCTATCTATCTATCTATCTATCTCCATCCATCCATCCATCCATCCATCCGTATGGCCGCCCATCTTAAATTTATGGCTCTGGGCAACTAACAGCACATTAAAACACCATAACTATAACAGTGGTTCTCAACCTTTTTAATGCTGCGACCCCCAACTGGTCGTTAGTCAAGACTACTCAACCGGTCATAAGTCGAGGACTACTCAACTGGTGCAGCACCGTTTGCAGAATGGGACTTTTGGCAGGCTCAGCAGGGCAGAGACAGCCTGGACAATTCCTATTGGCTTTTGAAAGCCAATAGAATTAGACTCTATTCAAGAGAGTCTATTCTATTGGCTTTCAAAAGCCAATAGAATAAAAGGGAGTAGCACAGCTAAGGAAAAGGGGAAAAAAATGGCGGACTGCGTTGTTTGGCGACTCCCATGAAATGGTCGTTCGACCCCAAGTGGGGTCCCAACCCACAGGTTGAGAACCACTGATCTTATAACAATAAATTATGCATAAATAATTGACAACTGACGTAAATCACCAAAGAAGCAAAAGCAAAACTATCTACTGCATAGTAGGTTCTATCACTGGTGAATGCAGTGTTGACTCCAAATCATTTTGTATTCAGGAAGAGTGAAAGCCAACCTTCTGCCAGGATTTTAATGCTTTCTTTTATTTTGTTAATTTTAAAAGTTTGAACATTATGTTTTGGTTATGCCATTGTTTGGTCTGCATTCAGTTCATTTGCTGTTCAATTTTACGTTGTAAATTGCCTTGATTCTCAAAGAGAAAGAAAGGTAGGCTATCAATATATTTCTAAGTAAATAAAGGTTTGGTTAGGTTTGGTTTTGGTTTTAAGCCATTCAGAAAACTAGGTCTTCCTGTGCAGCATTGAAGCAGCATAGACATTTGTAGGTCAAAAAGGAAGGAGTAACCACAAACTCCAACAGGAAAAGCATGGGATGGGGAACATCCACATTTGGAAGCACAAAGGAGCCCCGGGATCAGTCCTGACATGTTTTTCTCCCAGATCTTCCTGTGGCAACAGTGAACACCGTTATGGAGTCTTACTTGTTTCAGTATGGCAAAAAAAAGTATTTCCAAATTGAGCGTATCTTCTGGTGCTTGGCTTGGATGAATATTCCAAGGCTGGTCAGTTGTTGGCCTTTCCAGCTGTGGGTGCCTCTGCTTTGAGGGCTGATGGGGGGGGGGGGGAAGGGAGTGTCTTAAATTGTCTCATGGTTCCAGGGCAATTCCAGAGATGTGAAGCTACAGATTCAGAGTGCCCCCTGCTGGCTCACTTTGGTCAGCAAAGAGGCAAGCTATAAAAATCCATCAAAGGATTTTCCTGCATACCTTATCTTCAATATTATTATTACCACCACCATCCAAAAATCAATAATTGATTTTCCCTTGTTTATTTTCTGTTTTTCTTCCTTTTCTATACTTGAGTGTGTACATTCAATTTTCATAATGAAACAGTTTTTGTGCACTTCCAGCCTACCATTCTGCCAAACTGGGATGGCAACACAATATTTTCTCAAGCATAATCTGCCAGGTGCGTGTTGTGTGCATGTGCACGGTGGCCAGAGTGGAGGCAAATTCCAAGGTCTGAGGGATTGTGGTTCTCTATGCAAGCCTGCAGGTCTTTCTCTTACTGAAACATCTCCTCCTCCCAAGTGACATGATTCAAACACAGACCTTCAAAATTTAGGAGATCTGGTCTGGTCTCTTGCAAAGAAACTTTGCAATCACAGCACAAAATCCATACTTAAGTCCATGAGTTGCATAATTCTACCCTACAGTATCTGCCACCCAATGTTGTTTCATCTAAACTATTTCATGAATTGATGGCTGTTTCTCAAACTGCTGTTTCTCAAACTGCATCAGGCCCCGAAGAACAGTCATCGCACCTAGAGCCATTTCAGATGATCACAAGGTGGCAATAAGGAGTTAGTAATTTCTGTGTCTCTTGATGACTTGCTAGACCTGATAAGCCTACAAGTACAACCATTCCAACAGATGGTAAAATAGCTTATAGCCACCCCTGCCATGTAGTCATTATTTGCTAGCTTTTCTAGGAGCAGAAACACTGTACCAGTATATCTGCCCTAATCAGCCTGAGTGAAAACAAGGCAGTAGAAACAATGGTGAGATCTGTTCTTATGCTGAAAGAAATGGAGTGAGGGTGGAGGTTCGCCTCTTGAGCTTGTGGGTTGGTTTCCAAATGTTTAGTTACCAGGCTAGGTAACTTCTTCAGCTGAGTTTAGGGGCTGTCAGTGTCGGTGTTCTTCTGCTTATAAGGGCTTCTGTAGTCAGTAGGTCTAGTGATGGGAGGTCATGTCAGGTGAGGGTCATGCCAGGTGAGGGTTTTGTGATGGGTCTTGTGATGGGGTCACATCATGTGAGGGTCTCGTGGTGGGTCTTGTGATGGGTCAGAAGCCCTTAAAAGCAGAACACCGACACTTACATCTCTTAAATTCTCCTGAAGATGTTACCTAGCCTGGTAACAAAACATTTGGAAGCCAACCTATAACTCAAAGAATGAACCTATGTGAGAAAGGAGCTTTCACCGAAGTTAATTGATTTTGACTCACAAGGAAGATTTATTTAGATATGAAGAGAATATACAGCGATGTAAAGGCTATTTAAAGGAATTTTTTGTTTGGAATATGAACAAGGGTACTTAGATGCCAATGGTATGGGATTCTTGTAAAGCATATATGAGAGGGATTTTGATTTCTATGAACAATGCTCATAGATGTAAACAGATTCAGAAACGTAAAGATCTTGAAGGTGAGATTAAATGTAAGGAAAAGATTTTAATATCAAATCCAATGGATAATAAGTTAAAAGTTTCTATTACTTTGCTGAAGGAGCAATTTAATATGTTATTAGCAGATCAAATGGCAATTAATTTGAGGTATGTGAAACATAATACATTTTGTAATGCAAATAAACCTGGTAGATGGTTGGCTTATCAATTATGTAAGAAACAGAAATCGAGGATTATAGATAAAATAATTTATAAAGGTAAAGAAGTCTACCAACAAAATTTGATTAAAAAGTCTTTTTTAGATTTTTATTCAAAGTTATATGCTAGTGAAAGTATACAAACTTCAGATATAGAAAAATATCTACAGGGAGCACGTTTTCCTAGACTTACGAGTGACCAACGTGATGGGATTAATGGTTTAATTACTTCTGAAGAGATTATTTTTGCAATTAAACAATTGAAGGTTGGTAAGACTCCAGGTACTGATGGGTTAACAGCGATTTATTACAAGATGCTATCTGAAGAAATGATAGAACCATTAAGGAACTCTTTAATGATATTTTATCTGCAGTAGAGTTACCTCCATCTTGGAGAACGGCCTTCATATCATTAATTCCAAAGGATGACCAGGATCTGTCCCAACCTAGAAATTATAGGCCTATATCTCTTTTAAATACTGACTATAAGATTTTTGCAAAGATATTGGCAAATAGATTAATGCAGGTTTTGAAACAATTGATTCATACTGACCAATCTGGATTTATAATGGGGAGATATATGAAAAACAATGTAAGACAAATTGTTAATTTAATAGAGTATTTGGATAAGAACAACCAAATCCCTGCTGCTTTAATATTTATAGATGCTGAGAAAGCTTTTGATCAATTAGATTGGAATTTTCTATTGAAAGTTGTAGAGGAAATGAATTTGGGAGATAAATTTTGTCTGCTCTCAAGGCCATTTATCAACAACAATCGGCAAAATTATAATTAATGGGGGATTAACTGACGTATTTAAAATAGGAAAAGGTACAAGACAGGGCTGTCCTTTATCCCCCTTGTTATTTGTATTAACAATGGAGATTTTACTTATTAAAATTCGAGATTCATCTAGATTAAAAGGAATAAAAATAAGTAAGATTGATTATAGGCTGAGAGCTTTTGCTGATGATTTGGTTGTGACGTTATCCCATCCAACAGATTCGGTCAAAGACTTGGTTGAAATTTTAGCTCAGTATGGACAGGTCTCTGGTTTTAAGGTAAATAAGAATAAAACTAAAATATTATTGAAAAATATGTCTAGGAAGGGAAAACATTTTATAGCTGAAACAACAGGTTATGAAATAGTTAATAAGGTTAAGTATTTAGGAGTCTATATTACAACATCTAATGGAAAAATGTATAAGAATAATTATGAACGCTTATGGGTTAAAGTTCAAAAAGATTTAAATGATTGGCAAAAGCTACAACTATCGTTATTGGAGAGAATTTCAGTAGTGAAGATGAATGTTCTACCAAAGTTTCTTTTTTTGTTTCAGATGATACCCATTTTAAAGAAGGATGCTAACTTGGATGAGTGGCAGAAGAGTATTAATAAATTTATTTGGGGTGGGAAGAAATCAAGGGTAAAGTTTAAGATTTTACAAGATGCTCGAGAAAGAGGTAGACTTAAAGCACCAAATTTGAAATTATATTATGATGCGGCCACTTTAACTTTAGTAAGTGACTGGCTTAATTTAACAAATAGAGACATTCTTGTTCTTGAAGGGTGGGATTTATTATATGGTTGGCACGCATATTTAATTTTTGATAAGAAAGTAGATTGGGTCTTTAAGTCACATATTTTAAGATATGCTTTACTTCGAGTTTGGAAAAAATATTATTATAAGTTAAATTATAAAATACTTATTTGGGGGATTCCTGGACAAGCAATTCAGGGGGTTTCCAAGGGGGTGAATTTTGATAACATTTCGTATAAAGAGTTACTTATTTGGTCGGGTACTGATTGGCAATTAAAGTCTTCAGATGTGTTGAGGCAAGAAAACATTTTAGAATCGTGGTTTCAATATTTGCAAATAGTGCAGAGATGGACTTTGGATAAGAAAGTGGGAATTACTTTAGTAGATGAAAATTTGGTAATCCAGAATTTACAATGAGTTAATAAAATTGGATTCAGAAACAGAGTTAGTAAAAGATTGTATGATTAAATGGGCCCAGAATATTCAGGAACCGATTTCATTGGATTTATGGGAGGTAATTTGGACCAGAAATGTTAAATTTATGCAGGCCCAAAATTTGAGGGAAAATTTTTATAAAATATTTTATAGATGGCATCTGGATCCTAAAAAGTTGTCCTGTATGTACCCGAACGTGCAACCTAAATGTTGGAGATGTGGTTGTTTGGATGCAACCTATTTTCATGTTTGGTGGACTTGTAAAGATATTAAAGCCTTCTGGATTATGATTTGGTGGAACATTGAAAAGGTTTTTAAAAGGAAGATTAAGTTTACTCCCCAACTGTTTCTTTTGGGCATTTTTGTGGATTTTAATGTTAAAGAAACTATTTTAATGTTGAATTTAATAACAGCAGCAAGATTATTGGTGGGTCAATATTGGAAGAAGGATACTCTGCCTTCTTTAGAAGAATGGGTATTTAAGGTTTCTAATTTAGCAGAAATGGCTAAAATTTCTGCTTATTTAAAGGACCATTCACAAGAGAGATATTTTAATGTATGGAAAAGATGGATAGAATATGTTCAGAAGAATTATGGAACTACAAAGTTTCATTTATTTTATGAGTAATGAATTTGTTTATAAATTTATGATGTTAAAGTTTGAAGAGAGTTAAGGGTTAATATGATTTTGTTCATTGTATAATTAGTAAACTTAAATAGATTATGTTTAATATGTTTGTATAATCCTGTACTTTGCTCTGGGAAGTCAGGGGTGGGGGGAGGGGGGAGGGGGGGTGGATGGGTTGAAGTTTAAGTAGTTCAGATAAAGTAGAAATAGTTTTACTGTATATAATATTAAGGTTTCAATTTGGAGAGAGGAATTGCTCGGGCATTTCCCCTGGACCGCATCCGGAGCGAGAAGGTAGAAGGTGAGAAGCAAGTAGGAAGGTTGAGGAGAGGTGAAGAGTGAGGAAGAGGAAGAAGAGGGAAAGAGGCAAGTTAGTTGGGGGTAGATTCGGTTTGGGGGGAAATGGGTGGGCAATACCGAAAGTGGTGTGTATCAATTTGTTTTATTTTTTTATCTGAAGTATTTTTAAGATTGTAATGTATTGTAAAATTGAAAATAAAAACTTTTATAAAAAAAAAATGAACCTCCACCTCATCCTACACCTGAGCTACAGATATTCACCACTATCACGCTCCATGGAGTGCCCAAATCCAAAGATGACTCCTCAGCAAAATGCCTGGGTGCTCCACCTCCCCCCATCTGGCCTTTGCCTCGGCACACTGTTTTCCCCTAATTTATTCTTTCCTCACCTACTCTAGGGATGTTTTTCTCCTTTCTTTTTTTCCTGAAGAGTTGGGCACTCTAGTAGAGCATCAGTGATGCTCAGCATGTTGATTTTGTCAGAATGGCCCTGGGTCCCCTTTGCCTTTGTTTTATGTCAGGAACAAGGGCTGCTTCCTCAGCAACATCCTCTGTCTCTTGGAATGTGGTTTGGCAAATTAAAAAAAAAAAAAAAAAAGCTGTGATGGCAACAGCATATGGGGGCCCTACAGACTGTGAAGCTTGAGATCTGCATCTGGTGATCCAACACTTTCTCCCATCACATCTGGCCTCTGAGCAGTTAATTACTGTAGACTGGGGGGGGGGGGAGTTTGCTAGCAGTTTTTATAAACTTTTTCTCCCCAATGTTGTCTTATATAAACCCTGGTTGATATTTTTAAAACCAACAGTTGCACATTGTCTTTGAGAGCAAATGAAGTGATACGCATTGACCCTCTGACACAACGCAGGAGTTGTGTGAAGTGACCCGGTCTCATGGAAAGAGGTAATTAAGGCTTATGTCATACATCTAACTGGAGCTGTCATTCCTTTTAGAGGAAAAAAAAGGGAAAGAAGCCATTTGTTTGGGTGACTTCATGATTTGAATCAAAGCACTCAGAAAGCCAATGTGTTTTTGTATGTGTATGAGTGTATAAATATATTCAGCTAAGCCTCTTTCAAATAAGCCAAGCCTAAGCTCTATTTCCCAATCATGGGCATAAACTTTTCCATTTCCTGGAAGGGGAGCAAGGGCAGAGTGCAGTTGATTAATAGGGATCAAAAAAAAAACCTTTTCATATAGATGTGAAAATTCAAAACAACAGAAAAGGTGTACAAGTCATTTTAGTACTTTCATTTATTTCTTGGTTTGATTGTATCCCACCTTTTTATTATTTTTGCAAATAAGGTGGCAAACATATCCAATATAATTTTCTCCTCCTCCTCCCTTCCTCAGAACAACCCTGTGAGGTGGGCTGGACCAAGAGAGAGTGACTGGCCCAAAGTCACCCAGCTACCCTTCATAGCTAAGTAGGACTAGAATTCACAATCTCTTGGTTTCTAACCGGGTGTCTTAATCACTAGGCCAAATTGGCCCTTGGAGAGTTGGAGGACCACATCATCTGAAGGAAACAAGGGTGACTTAATGGAATATGCTTTACTGAGCTGGTGCTTGCAGGAGTTTGATGACCCTAGTTGGCTTGGCAGCCCATTTAAAAAAGGGGGCTCCAGGGAATCCTGGAAAAGTACAAGCACTGTTGCTTCCCTGAAGTGCCCATCCATGTTCTCAGTAATCCAAGGGTTAGCAAGTCTGCTTTGGTGTTATCTGTCCCACTATTCTTGAGAACCATCTTGCTCAGAAAACAATCTAATGTCATCCTGCATTATCTTGGATATATTGGTCTGAGAAAAAGAAATGTCTCAAGAGTCTTATATTTCATGCCTGTTTGGCTCCACTGGTTGAAAAAAAAATTGTTTTGATTCCAGGTCTCCTAGAAATGTTATTTCATGCATTTTGATTTTCTGCTAATGCTTTGGAACAAGCCTCTGCAAATCATTCCACAAGCGGCTTTCCAGCAACTCTTCCAAGGGAAATGTCACCTGTGAAGCCTCCCAATAGGTGAGCTAAGCTAACAAGCTACTCCTTTGCAGCTTTCAAGGACTGGATCCAAATCACCTGGTTGAAAGACTGCACAGATCTGCTACAGAACTATTGTTTGTTTATTTATTTATTTAGTAAATGCCACCCATCTCTCTATCCAAAGTCACTCTGGGTAGCTTACAATGCCATGAAAGCATATAGATATATTTATTTATAAATAAATATAATTCTCAGCAAGGTTAGAAAACTGCATCTGATCTACTGAAAAGTTGGGAACTATAACATGCGAAGCAACTGAGAAATAAATAGCAGTCCCAAGAAAACTCATAATGTACCCCCAAGAGTAGGAAGCCTCTTCATGCAGTAGCCATAAAGCAGACTGAAAAATTCCTTTGTAAAAGGGATGGGGAAATTTATGGCTCTCCAAATGTTGCTGAACCGCAAGTTAACTCTGCTGACTTGGGTTTGTAATTCAACAACCTCAGGAAGATCCAAGTTTTTCCATCTTGGGTTATGAGCTGATCACAGCAGGCAATTATGCAAAGCACACTATGATTAAATATTTCTCACAAGGAGACTATTAAGGGTCAAACAAGTTAGAAAGTGTCTGTAGGATGCCACAAATTTGTATTCCCACCCAAAGTTACATACCTTATTACCTAGAAGCATGATAACCACATCCTTTTGGGCATATTCATGGATTTCTGTGAGCCAAGCCTACAAGGGAATGTTGAATGTGATGAGATGAAACATAGCTGAGAAGAAACACCAAACATCAAGACTTGAATGAGTTCACTCATCCTGTCCTGCCGTCTTGTTGCTTGTTTGCCTTTATCAGCTCAGCCATTGTGATTTGTAAATAACAACAACAACAATAATAATAATAAAGTTGGAAGGGACCTTGGAGGTCATCTAGTCCAACCCCTTGCTCAGGCAGGAAACCCTATACCATTTCGGAGAAATGGCTGTCCAGTCTCTTCTTAAAAACTTCCAGTGTTGGAGCATTCACCGCTCCTGGAGGCAGGTTGTTCCACTGGTTAATTGTTCTAACTGTCAGGAAGTTTCTCCTTAGTTCTAGGTTGCTTCTCTCCTTGCTTAGTTTCCACCCATTGCTTTTTGTCCTGCCTTCAGGCGCCTTGGAAAATAGCTTGACTCCCTCTTCTTTGTGGCAGCCCCTGAGATATTGGAACACTGTTATCATGCCCCCCCTCATCCTTCTCTTCATTAAACTAGACATCTTGGCTTATGTCTTATGTGGCTTGCTCAGTGTAGCACAATTAAGCAATCCGTGGTTTAGTGCAGTTTCTGAACCCAACCACTGAATTACACGAGCTCTCAGCATTTCAGCAGTGAAGAGATAAGCCAAATCCTCTTGCTCTGATAAGAAGTAACTCAAATAATTCTCAGGATAGGCATCCCAGATGTTCCAGTGAAGACCTCTTAGTCTCACACAGTTTTGGGTTGCTCCTGGAAGGGCACAATGCTCACAGTCCCTTTTGGCAATTGAGCCAATTTTGCATCAGATGTGCTGTGGCTTGGAGAGCAGTTTCCAATTAGAAGAAACTTTAAAATTACACCCATGTCCTAGACTTCCCATAATCCCCACAGAGCTTAATGTACCAGAGTTCCATGCTATCCTTAGAACCGTCTACTTGGCCAGGAGGCAGACATTTCACAGATCTCCTACCCATTTTCCAAACTATCACTCAGCCTAAAGTAGGACAAGAATCAGGAACAGAGTCCTATCCGGACACCCATTTCTGTAATCTCCTTAGCCATCAGCTCTTGACTGCTCAGCATTTTGTGTATGCTGGCTATTAGATTTGCAAAGTATTTCAAAATTTATTCTGAAGATTTGGAGCAAGAACATGCCACCTATATGCAAGTGCCCATATATTCCTGACAACCAATTGCAAATAATATGAAATACATATGGATATCTCTTCTTGTATTTAGCCTGATTTTCCTTTTTCTTCTTCATCTCCCCGCTGACAACTTGTAGTCTGCTAGTTCTATGGGGCAGGGATGTTTTTGTGAAGTGTAAAGCACAGAGATATAACACATATTTCTATGCCAAGTAAAGTTTATATCAGTACTGTAAAAAAATAAAACTTTTCCCTGTCCAGTTTTATCCGACTCTAGGGGGCGGTGCTCATCTCCATTTCTTAGCCAAGGCAGCCAGCACTATTTGAAGACATTTCTATAGTCATGTGTCTGGCATGACTATATGCCGAAGTGCATGGAACACTGTTAACTTCCCACTGAAGTGGTACCTATTTATCTAGTCACATTTGCATGCTTTTGAACTGGTAAGTTGGCAGGAGCTGGAGCAAGTAACAGGCGTCACACAATGCTCGGGCCTCGAACTTGGGCTGTCAGCTTTTCAGCCAACTAGCCCAACATGTTTAACCACTGAGCAATTGCACCTCCGATCAGTACTGAGTTATGGAAAATATTTTATTCCCATCTTTTAAACTTCTTGGCTTTTCAAGTGCAGGTGATCCTTTTTGTCTCTTTGCTGATTTCTATACAGCCCAGTGGATTTAGACAGAGACACAAGAACAGCTCAAACAGGGATATGTTTACTAATCAGATTACAACTTTAGCTTGCTGTTTGATTCCTGTGTGAGCAAGGGCTGGGGGACCATCTTGAATCAACAGTAGGCATGAAATACCCACCCGAATACTGTCAAAGGAGACTTTGTTGGTGATATCATAAAGGAGGAGAAGAGCTGGAAAAGAAAGAGAAATATGTGTTATTTGATGATTTTGTAATTTTCTAAAATTATGAAGCTATTAAGCACACATGGGGCCACACAGATCAATTCAAACTATGAATCCCTCTATCCTGAACTTGGATTATCTAAATAATCTCCATCCACAGGCACTTTCCCATCCTTGCTCAATGGAAGGGTTTTAAATCCAACATTGATTATACACAAGTCATAGCTATACCAGCTATTCTCAATGTAGTACCTATGAGATGCATGTATCTTTCAGGGAAGATACAAAGATGAAGGGAAAGAGATGAGCTATGTCATAAATATAGTAGGATGCAGACAAAACAGAAAACCTCTTTTTGTTTTGAGCTTGATACAAATTAATCCCCTTAAAACATTCCATTGAAATATTCAGAGTTGGTTTCTTCTTGCTCTTAACAAACCTTATTTCACACATATGTTTTGTTTTAAGCTTGGAACACTCCCAAAGGCCATTTCGAACTCAAAATATTGCGCACTGCTAATATAGAGAACAATATAGATTGTACTATATATAAAATATAGAACAATATATCAAACAGTGGCATTATCACTTGGTATTAGATCTGAGCAATGAAAGATCTACTCCGTTTATCACCCCCACTCTGATTCAATCTGAGATGAAGGAAGGCAGCATTCTAGAGCACCAACCTTGTGCATCACGATAGTACGCGTGTGTTACACTCCGGAACCTTTCCTGACCGGCCGTGTCCCAAATCTGCAATAAGGCAAAGACAGAAAACCAAGGAAACAGTCTTCATTGTATTCCATTAGAGAGACCCAGATGTAAAACAAATATTAGTGCAAGTAAAATTCACAGACAGTACGTGCAAAACGATATTCCTGGATAGTTCTCTGAATTATGTCTGTTTAGAACCAAGATAGTTCTTCCAAATAAGAGAATAAAAATGAACTACATGGTAGCACTTACAGAATTCAATTCAGCATATAGAAGTGATGATGCAAATGTAAAAGACTTGAATACAACTATCTCATAGATCCAATAGGATTTTTTTGCACAGAAATGTGCAAATAAATAACTTATTTCACAGTCTCAGATCCACACCATCAATACCAATGTATAAAATGGTTCATATACAAATAGGGCTATGCAATGCATTGAATTTAATTTGGAAAAAATGTTTCAGAACTTACAGGTACGCAAATATAGCCCGTCTCACAGAAAAAGACATGACTGGGTTGAAGACTTGTAGATAGATGCTGCATTTGTATCCCTGTGAACTCTGAAGCACTTTTTTTGGAATGAATGTGAAATGCTGCACATCCCTGCTCTGCAGGCTTCACTTGCTGCCAGTCAGCTTGCAGGTGCAATTCAAGAAGCTGGTCACCATCAATGGCTATTCAAGAGGTGACCCATCTTCAATAGTGTCAAGGTCAGAGTCACCTTGGACTGTGAGATGGGTGATAGATAGATAGATAGATAGATAGATAGATAGATAGATAGATAGATAGATAGATAGATAGATAGATGACAGAGATGCTAGATAGATAGATAAGATAGATAGATGACAGAGATGCTAGATAGATAACATAGATAGATAGATGATAGATGACAGAGATGATAGATGACAGAGATGATAGATAGAGAAGATAGGTACACAGACAGATGGACGGACGGATGGATGGATGGACAGACAGATAGACAGACATAATGAAACAAAATGTGTATAGACCAGTTCCTATTAAATTACATCCCCTGATGGGATTCAGGAAGCAGGCTTTTTTTTATTGCACATCTGCGACCTAGAAAACCATTTCCTCCCCCACCCCCAGAGCCATATGGCCCAACCTATTTTTATTTATTATTTATTTTATTAATCAAATAAAAGTTACATGCCCATCTTGCAACTATTCTGGGAGGCATACGATGTGGCATAAAATTTGAATACATCTATCAGTCGGTAGCAAACTTCTCCCCCCCCCCCAAAAAAAAGTGCTGAGCAAACAGCTACCAATTAACTTCAAGGGTTCTTGGATGACACGGATTTCCTGTTTCCATTTTAATTTGGATTCAGGACTGATTTTGCCACATGGGATTAGCAAGGAGCCGATACAGAGAATGCTTTGTTGGAAAGCAGGATTTCTTTGGAAGTCAGCCACATCTATGGCTTTTACTTCCACATGCCAAGCAGAAATGTAATAGCTGAAGCCTTTTAATGGAGAAAAATGGCTTGTCTCACAGTAACTGAATATACTGTATAGGAGGCCTTTTTCAGAACAGAAAAAAAATGGAGCAAGCATACCTATTTAGAGGACTTCACAGGAAATGCAACTTTGGTGTATCGAGCAGACCTACCTGCAGTTTCACTTTTACATCATCCACAGTCACCACTTTATTCTGTAAGAAAAAAAACAACCCACATTTATATAAAGAGCAAATTAACAAGAGGAACTCTATATTCAGCTTTACGGGTTTTTTTAGATCACCTGTGAGAAAACAAGCAGCTAAGATCCTTTCTTATGATTTTCTATAACTCCCAGTTTAAAATTTCATGGGACAATCGCTAATAGTTAGAAGGTAATAAGCTTCATGCATATTGCTGGCACAATTGGTGCACTGAAATTTTTGGCAAGACTGTAAGCAGCATATCTGCTAACAAAATATTGTATATTTAGTCATTCCTCTTTGCCTGCAATTTGAGGATCAGAGGTATCATATTTACTGGGATTGCATGCAAAGCAATCCTATCATCCAACACAATGCTTGTTAAGCTGGTTATCAGTAACTATTGGTACAATTAAAATACCTTAAATTTGTTCCGCATATAGTATATTTTATCAACTCTGGACTGAAGTAATGATGACTGCACTAATAGCAAATAATATTTTATAGATTATCAAGTGCTGGAGAGTTTCATTGTTAATTCTTTTTCATCATTCATGACACAAAGAAATTAGCACAACTTCTGATACTACATTTGTGGCAACTTAGATGTGCAAGTATTCACGGATCAGTGGAACGTGATGCGTAAATGCTTATACAATTACATTTTTTAAGGCTTTAAAGGGTCAAAAGTGGTTTTTGCTGTGCTAAACTAACATGGTCATCGTTCTAAAAACAAGAAACAAAAGAGTCAGTTGGACAGAGTATGCAAAAATGTCTTTTGCTACAAAATCTACAATCAAAATACTAAGCTATAACACAGTGACAAGGGAGATGCATCTTCCTTTGTAAGTTCTCATTACTATATTCAAGGGTTTGTGTTGTCCCAAACCATACTAATCAGATAATGATTATAATATAGAGGCCAAGACTCCACAAGTTATTTAGAATAACTGCAGCACACAATAGATAACAAACGTGGTCCTGGAAGACCAGGAGAATTGTTCAATTATAGAACCCACTGAGGAATTTTGGACCATATCACTTTCTCTCAGCCTACTACAGCTCATAAGATTATCGTTTGGGAAATAAAATGAAGGGATATTCCCATATCATCTCTCTCGAGTTCCAAAAGGCCTGGGACACAAATGCTCATGAATGAAGGTGAATATAAGTGTCAAATCTCATCATCACCATTACCTTCATTATTCATCCACTATTATTTCCTCTTCTTTAACTGTTTTAACCTATGAGCTTTGCAAAGTTTTCAGAGCAGTTGAAGCAGATCCATTGTCTGCATGTGGCTGCTTCAAAAACTTCTCCCAGGTGTCTCCACATGAGCTTGGAGCCACTTTGCTTTAGCACAATTCGAGGAGAAGTGTTTCGGAATTCCTAGGAACACAAAAGGTTCTATGTACCACATCCTTTATATTCTGGAGCAACTTTGGTGAAAAAAAATGGAACAGGGTATTCAAAAAAAAAAAAAAAAAAAAGCAGGAAAGCCTCCATCTTTCACCCATCAATTCTCCCTACATTGCCTTCCTCTTCTGGCATTTAGGATTACAAGGCAAGCATGGAGCAAGCACCTTTATCCTTAAATAGACAAGACACGGTGATGCTAGTATACTGTTGCATATATTTCTTTTGTGAGAATGGCAGACAACTGCAATATGTTGATGAGTTAGGGGGAATCCTAACATCATAGGGGCCAACCGGATAGCAGTACCAGTCATGGCTGATCTCGAGAAGCTAAGCCAAGCCAAGTCAAGGATGACCATTAGGAAGACTCTATAGGCTACACTGTGAAGTGGGAAAAATACTGGAAGAAGGCAGTGGAAAAACACTTCTGTGCTGTTGCTAAGAAAATTAGATGAACGCAGCCATGATATCACCAGGAGTCCAGCTCAACTTGAGGGAGGCTTTAGTTTTTTAGCATGAAGATATGGAGACACTGTAATGCATATGTGCTTGGGAAACAGGAGGAAGAGCCACAGCTTAGACCAGTGTTTCTCAACCTTGACAATTTTAAGGCGTGTGGACTTCAACTCCCAGAATTCCACAGCCAGCAATGCTGGCTGTGGAATTCTGGGAGTTGAAGTCCACATGCCTTAAAATTGTCAAGGTTGAGAAACACTGGCTTAGACAATAGTCATGCAAGAGATATCTTAGCCCTCAAAAGGAAAAGGGGGCATGGGAACTATATCAGAAGGGGCAGAAATGTTTTCAGACTTGCAAGATTCTGTTTCTATAACCCTACAATAAAGTTAGAATTGCTACTCATGGTTTATGCTTCTGTCTGGACAACCTCAGAGGCTGTCACACTTCTCATTATAATGCACATAGAATATAGCTACCTAATATAATTTTGGGAGGGAAAGGAAAATAATGTGCTCTATGTGAATTTGACATGATATGGAAAAGTTTGATTTGGTTCAGCACAACCAGAACCAAAACATTGTTTTGAAGTGCAAAAAAGCTTAGAGCAGGGGTCCTCAACCTTGGCATCTTTAAGACCTGTGGACTTTAACTCCCAGAATTCCTCAGCCAACAGAGCTGGGAGTTGAAGTCCACAAGTCTTAATGTTGCCAAGGTTGAGGACCCCTGGCTTAGAAGCATCTCCTCAAATTATTTATTGCTTTGCTTTAAAATGCCCAGGGCCTAAGATTACAAATTATTACAATATTCTTCTTAAACTATTATTAACAGTCTCCTAGGACCAGTTACTCTTTCCCAATAGTCTTCTCCAGATGAATTGGAGCTATCATTGGCCATATAAACTGGGAATTCCAGAATTTACCCATTTGGAGGAAGTCAGCTGAACCTAGATTGTCCACATAGTTAATATAATGACTGAATAGGTTGTTTTAATTAGTCTCAGAAAACTAAGCATGAGAAAGACAATACGTACCACATTACCTAGTTCACAGGTCGGCAACCTGCAGCTCCGGAGCTGCATGCAGCTCTTTGAGCCTTCCCCTGTGGCTCCCAGCCTCCTCTGCCATTTGCAGAGAGAGAGAGAGACAGAAAGAGGCAATTGCGAGCTCCTCCCTTTGCTGCGTCTCTGCAGGAAGCAGGAAGGACAGGAGAGAGCTAGCTAGCCCAGATATGCTGGCTCAGTAATTCTGGGAGTTGAAGTCCATGAGTCATAAAAGAGCCAAGGTTGCCTACCCCTGAGCTTGTTGGAGAGCAGCTTGAAGTCAGCTTGCCAGGTGAGCAGCAGATAGCAGAGAGGGAGAGAGGGGGGAGAGAAAGAGAAAGAGAGAGAGAGAGAGAGAGGGAGGGAGGGAGGGAGAGAGAGAAAGAGGGGGGGGGGAATGGGGGAAGAGAACTGGCAGACCAAGGGCAGATAGAGAGAGGGATGGAGAAAGAGAGAGAGAGAGAGAGAGACCCTTTTGACATCTAAAATGAAGATAACACTGCATATATCCTTTTTTACCTGTGTGTGTATGTCTGTATGTATATACACATATACATATACATACACACACATACATACATACACACACAAACACAGACACACACACACACACACACACACACCTATAATAAAGGTAAAAAAGGATATATGCAGTGTTATCTTCATTTTAGATATCAAAAGGGTTTTGTGGCTCCCGGTGTTTTGTTTTCGGTGGGAAATGGGTCCAAGTGGCTCTTTGAGTGTTTTGGGTTGCCTACCCTGACCTAGTTGTAACATATAATTCATTTTTTTCCTCTTTAATTCATCAAACAAAAATTTTACCTATCTAGTACATACATATCTGACATTCCATTGTGAGCTTATCATGTTTCCTACAAATTGAGATAATTTTAATTGGCCGTATTTATCACACATAACAAAGAAATGCATACTAATCCTTGGAAAAAGATATCCCAGTTATGCATAAAGTATATTTTAGAGATCTTTAAAAACACAACAATTAACCTGACTGTTACCATTCTTTTACCATCCTGTCTGTTACCGTTAGGAACCAAGAGCTTGACCAATATTGGTCCAGTATTGAGATATCTTTGGTTTAGCTGCCAAGAGGAAGAAGGGAATTAAATGCTTGCTTCATATTATTACTTTTTAATTCTAATCATCAAAAATATGTAACAAGTTGCATTTAAAGTGTTTTCAATCCTATTTTTTTTAAGTTCTAAAGTTTATTTAATCAAAAGCATTCTTCCAGAATTTAAAAGCTTCACCATACAGTTACTAGAGATGAAGACAGGATCCAATCTGGGTCAGTCACAGGGACCAAATATTTAGTCTTCTGACTTTTCGGGTTTGTGCTGGAGCCCATCCTCAGGAAACTTCTCTCTAACACTTTACAAGATTAGCCTGCTGGAAATGCTGACCTTAAACCAAAAGGAATTCTCTGGAGGATCTTTACATTGTATACCAGGGCTTGTTAATCGATCCTATTCAATTATACAAGTTTTTAAAAGGTCTGGAAACAAAGAGTTCTTCCGAAAGTTTGAACATCAGCTGAGCTGAGACAGTACAGGAACAATTTTAAATAAAAGCTTTACATATGAATGGATTCTCAAAAGTGAGGGCATGCTGGTGTAAGAAGGCATGAAAAGAACACAATTTTGGATTTTTTAAAAACCCAACTAAGAACAATTGGCTAGAATTATCCTGCAACAGATGTGCTCCATTAATTAACTCAACAATGGGAGGAGCATCTGAAGAATAGCTTACATGCTCATAAGTTGAAGTTAATAACAGTGCAGCAGCATAAAAAACAGTGAATGCAATTTTTATTAGTCCTCCATACTTTTATTGGCTATGGATCTGAATAAAGATATTGAAAAAGCTACTTAAAATCCTGTAGTGCTGACTTCCACCCAATAGTGCCAATAAAATGTCGTTTTCCATTTACAATTTACAGTTCTAAATGAAATAACATCTCTTGAGCTTTGGAGTAAGTAAGTCTGACACAATTTATACTGTATAAATCGTATTATTTATGTGATGATGTGACATCATTGTTTTTCCTTTTCTCTCCCTTAGGCACAACAACACAGGGATTAATTTTCAGTGGGAACAGGAACCAACCTGATTCCTTGCATGAGTCGTGTCCCTTTGCTGTCCCTTGTTCCTGATCACACATGCCTCCAGTCACAAACTCCAACAGCCACAGGTGACAGTGTGTTAAATGTCTACAAGCAACTCACATGTCTGATTTTTGACCTGTATAGTGCAGATTGGGACTGCAGTTTGTGGGAGAGGGAGGCTTTCAGCACTTTTCCCAACTGTCATCCGAGGAAAAAAACATTCCATCCCAAAACTACACAGGTTCTAGGAGAGAAGATGATAGAAACTTTCCCTCTAGGACTACCAGCAGCTCTGAAAATGTGTATGTGTGTGTAAATGAAGGAGGAAGAGAAGATAGAATAATGGACTCACAGGGCAGGACGAGACCATGGCGATGTTCTATTCCAACCGCTGCCCAAGGCAGGAGCCCTTATACCAGTGGTCACCAATCTTTCCGGCTTTGCGAACCGGCAGGGGTGGGTGGAGAAAGAGGATTTTTTCATGCAAGTGGCAGGCAAGCGTGTGCACGCAGCTCCATTTGCACAAGTGGCAGGCACACATGCCTGCCACTCACAAATGGAGCTTCATACAGGTGCTCGCTCGCTGCTTATGCAAGTGGGACCGTGCGTGCATGCACACGCTCACCCACCACTTCCACAAAATGGCCCAAGGATTGGGGACCCCTGCCTTACAGACAACCAGACAAATAGTTGTCCCATCATTTCTTGAAACCTCCAGTGATGGAACGCCCACAACTCTGAGGCAGAGTTCCATTGATAGATTGCACGAAAGACCATTTGGGATTGAGTTGTTTTTTTGTTTTTTTTTACTACAACCACAGCAGAGAGGAATAGGACGAGGCTTCTGGGTCTACATGTGCTGGACTCCTGGTCCAGCTACTGAAAGACCAAAACCAGGCAAGACAAATGTTTGCATCCATGTAATGTTCTTCCGTCTGTGTTGTGCTTAGCTCAAAGGTCTACTGCAGGATGCCCAACACATTTCTCTGCTGTGGCAAACTATCTCCAGAATTAATAGTGGCCTCACCCGGAAGTCTATCCCGACAGTAGCTATGAAGGTCCCAGAGAGGAAGGCTCCATCTTTGAACTGGATAAGGAAGCAGGTCTTCCCCACACCTGAATCTCCAAGCAGCATCACCTACAAGATGAGGTGCAAAAGCCCATTAATATGGCTGGTTGGGGTTATACTGGCATTCATGTTTTTTCCCCCCCTCATGCTTCCTTATTAAAGAAGAGAGTCTCTCTCTCTCTCTCTCTCTCTCTCTCTCTCTCTCTCTCTCTCTCTCTCTCTCTCTCCTGTCAACAGTAATCTAATTTAGCAAACAGAACTAGCAGCCAACAAAGAGAAGAACAAATAAATGGCAATATCTAATCTTCATCTTACTTTAGCCATTGTGACTGGGAGTCATTCATTGTCTGCTCTACTAAAACAGTCTTATTCCATCAATACTGGCCATAACTCAATGTGGAGAACTTAGCAGAGAATCAGGAATCTGGTAGCGCCTTTTCCGATTAATAAATATTATTAAAACGTTTTTACAAAACTTCTTGATTTTTTTTTTTTTTTGCCACTGTAGAACAAGTGTTTCTTAACAGTGACAAATTTAAGATGTTGTAGACTTTTTACACTGGCTGGGAAATCTGGGAATTGAAGCCCCAAGTTGCCACAGTTGAGAAATACTGCCACAGACTTAACAAGGCTTATAACAGATAATTTAAAAACAGCAACAACAATGCTTTAGAGCAGAGTTCTTCAAACTTGGCCCTTTTATGACTTGTGGACTTCAACTCCCAGAATTCCTCACCCAGGCATGCTCGCTGAGGGATTCTGGGAGTCGAAATCCACAAGTCATAAAAGGGCCAAGTTTGAAGACCCCTGGTTTAGATCTCCTATAAGCACAGCTCCTCTCCGGTATTAATCAAAGTGCCCCAACTTTTTTCCGGATTCCGTGTGAGCCTGAAAGAAAAGATGTCACATCTTTAAGAAGCCAATTTCCTAATATAACTCATTGCATTAAAGTTGTTTTGTTGAGATTTGCAGAAGAGTGAAAAAGGTGGACTGCTGTGATTAATAGCAGAATAGTCTCGTGCTTGCCTGAAGTCCAAGGCAAGTACTTGGGAAATCTTTAAAGCGTGCACCCCTTTCTGCTTATCTCCCCCTTTAGTGTTATAGCAAGCTTACAAGGATGGTGTAGGACAAACTTCTCCATCTCATGCTCTCCAGGTTTGCCAAAGGCACCACCTGGTTGGGAATTGTGGTAATGTAAATTAAACAAATCTGGACCAAGTTGAAAAAGGATGTTTTAAAATGTTTCCAAATAGAGGCTACTTTGCTAAATCTTTTAGGAAGGTTTAGCTCAAGGAAAACCATCCATGATCTCTCTTTCTAGTCCCAGGTCTTTTCAATGAAAGAGGTGGTATCCCTCTGGGGCCCTGGCAAAATAAATTCCTATATTTTCATATTTTTCCTCTAGTCCTTGCACAACTAGCAATGGTGGAAACTGAACTCCAGAAATAGAGTTGTTGGCTTGATGGGGCAAGTCTTCCTTCCTATTGTGCTCTCTGAAGAGAAGTTCTCCCATGCAGGTGAACATTTTTGAGAGATAATCTTTCCCACCATCCTGCTTCTCTGAGAGACTTTGGTGTTCGTTTGTGAGCTGGCCCCACACATCTTTCTCCGGCGATGAAAGGTTATAAACTCTGCTTAACTTCTTGTCCTTATTTTCATCATTACTAAAAGCACCTCTTCCTTGTCAGTGTTTCCTCTCTTCCCCAGAAAAGATAAGGAGATCAGCTTGTAGCTACTCTAAGAACCAGCCGCTGTTTTCAATGAAAACAAACAGCCCATTTATGTTTACACTTCATGCCATATGGTCCGGCTTGTGCTTTTGCTTAGCCTTCTAGCTAGGCTTCTAGCTGGACAAATTACATCTCTGGAAGCACAGGAGCCCTATGCCTTGTTCAAGGACTTCAGCATCTTCCTGAAATGTCAAGGCAGCTGACTCAAGGAGGTAGTGAAGTACAGTGTTTCTCAACCTTGGCAACTTTAATACGTGCGAACGTCAAATCCCAGAATTCCCCAGCCAGCTGAGAAGCACTGAGCTAGTATGACAGGGCCTAAATCTTCTAACTGCTTCTGAGTTACTGCTCCTCAGCTTAAGAATTATAATAATTACAGTTCCTTACTTAGGATTATTAATTCCAATTTAAGGGAACTTCTGTAGAGTCTACAATAGTTTCTTGGCTCCATTTATGGGAGTCCTGCCCTCTGCTGCCTCGGATCCTCTTCAGTGGTCACTGTCAGCAGGGCTGTGTTCACTCAAGTCAGAATATTATCCTATCTGGGAATGCATGTCTTCACTGAGACTACTTGCACAGGATCAGTAGTTATGCACTGAAACGTGTTGGATGGAGAGGTCACCCAATGGTCTGGGAAGCCATAGTGAGATGCCAGAAACCTCAGCTCAGAGGGAGCTGCACTCCTCACCTTTGTCCTATGCAAGGGAATAGTCCATTAGCTAATGTTAACTCTGCCTAATCCAAACATTTTACTAATCCTCCAAGTAATCCCCAAGGGCACAGTTCACACCCAGCCTCTTTCCTCCCTCCCTGGAATCAGATTCGTCATTGATCTACGATGTTATATAGACAAAGGGTGGAGAAAGAAGAAACTGTTTGTTGCTGATACACTAGATTAAATCTGAAGTATATTTCTAACAACCAGTTCCTTCTTCCATGGGCTTTTGTCTATTTCCTTTGACGCCACTATGACCCTATACAAAGAATCCATGGGCTAGATTAGGGGTGGGGAATCTTGGCCCTTTTATAACTTGTGGACTTCAACTCCCAGAATTCCCGAGCCAGCCATGCTGGAAGTTGAAGTCCACAAGTCACAAAAGGGCCAAGGTTCCCGCACCCCTAGGTTAGATCAAAACCTGAGAGGTATCATTATAATCCATGCCAAATATCAGGAGAAGATCCGTAAGCTCTGGGGCTCTCTTCCTTTCTTGCCCCTTTCCCACCTCTGTTGCAAGACAGCAGAGCAAACAGGCAAGCCAGTATCCACTCCTTCTAAGCAAACAGACTTTCAGCGTCAAAACCCCAGCTTGGTTGGCATTTTTCCCTATTTACCCCAGGGAAGGAAAAGCAATAACTGAGGCTATTCTGATTAGTTAGAAAGGACTTGCCATATGGCATCTTAAGGATTTATTGTGGTGTAAGATTTTGTGGGCGTTTTCATTTAAGGCAGGGGTGTCAAACTCAATTTCACTGAGGGCCGCATCAGCATTGCGGTTGCCCTTGGGGGTGTGTGGCCAGAGTGGGTGCAGCCTACTGGGTGGGCATGGATGGAGTGGGTGTGGCCTACTGGGTGGGCGTGGCCAGTTCTACATCATTTGCATCAAGGGTGCCTATGGTGGCCTGGGCAGGAGTGGGACAGATCTGAGGGTCTCTGGCAGAAGGGGGTGAGACTGGGGCAAGTGCCAAGATGGCCATGACAACATTGTACATCGGCTCCTAGCCGGCCTGGGCCAGGGCCAAGGCAGCAGGGGCTGTTCCCTCACTGTTTCCAGGATGGCTTCGTGGGCCACATGAAACCCCGGGCCTTGTGTTTGACATGTCTGATTTAAGGTCCACCAAAGGGAGAGCACATACTCTCTCACCTTTCTGGAATTTATCCCAGGGAGAAATGTGGGTTAGCCAGCATTTGTCCTCCTACAAAAAAAATCAGCGCACCCAGCTCAGAGATAACAGCAATCATTAGGGGAAAATGCATCAACAGCCCTGGCGGAACAACAAACACTGGACTCCTAGCTGTCCAGACTTGAAAAATAGTTCTTAAAAGAAAAGGAAACAAACTAAGGAAAGAAGGCCAGTCTACGTGTCCCAGGACAATTTTGCAGGATCCAATCTGGGTCAGTCGCCACAACCAAAGGTTTAGTCTTCCTCCGAGCTTTCAGACTTGTGCTTGAGCCCATCCTCAAGGAACTTCTCTCACAGACATTTGGTGAGAGAGGAGTTCCCTGACGATGGGCTTCAGCGCAAGTCTGAAACCTCAGAAGACTAAACTTGGTGGTCCCAGTGATCGACCCAACTTGGATCCTGAAACAAACTAAGCTTAGATTCAGAACAACTGAGAAAATGGGAAGCTGCAACACACCCTAACTGAAAAGAACCAAGTTTGGGAAAACTGCTACAACTACTTTCACTTTAAGAAAGGGGAAGAGAAAATGTCCTCTCTCTGCATTTTTGTTATGGAGGGAGTGTTGATTTAATAGATGGCAGCCAGTCCCAGAACAGGGACTCATGCAAGGAAGAACCATATAGATCAGTGGTTCTCAACCTGTGGGTCGGGACCCCATTTGGGGTCGAACGACCATTTCACGGGGGTCGCTAAACAACGCAGTCCGCCATTTTTCCCCCTTTTCCTTAGCTGTGCTACTCCCTTTTATTCTATTGGCTTTTGAAAGCCAATAGAATAGACTCTCTTGAATAGAGTCTAATTTTATTGGCTTTCAAAAGCCAATAGGAATTGTCCAGGCTGTCTCTGCCCTGCTGAGCCCGCCAAAAGTCCCATTCTGCAAACGGTGCTGCACCAGTTGAGTAGTCCTCGACTTACGACCGGTTGAGTAGTCCTTGACTTACGACCGGTTGGGGTCGCGGCATTAAAAAGGTTGAGAACCACTGATATAGATTATCCTGCCTGAGGCCCTTGCAGGAAGGTTGGACAATGTATCTGAAGTTGTAATCCATGGGAGTTGGTGTCCACCTGACTCAGAAAGTGCCATGCGGGGGGGGGAGGGGGGAAGGAAGATAGAATAGGCCAGGAATGATTGCTGTGATGGAATGGCCCAGGACCCAGGGCCAATTTGCAAAGCTTCTTTGACTGTTGTTGTTGCTCCTTCTCAGTGTTGCTCTTTTTTTTGCGTCCTGCCTTTCTTGGGTGTCAGGAAGAGGGGGAAGCAGCAGCAGTTCCAGGTCCCAGTTGACTGGAGAACAAAAAGAGCACCACTAACAACTGGCAGCTACATTAGAGTAATTGGAAGAGAGTGGGGATCTCTGGTGGAGGCTGGGCTATGATCCTTTTGAAGGATCCCCTGCCAGAAGGAATCTGGAAGCAGAGTGACTGAGTAAGCAGCA